TTAAAAATATTTTAAAATTTGAATAAACAATCACATATTTTTAGACAGAAATTTAGAAATCTAACCATCTACAGCACTGTAGCAGGAAGTGACTTTTTTTTCTTGTCTTTTTTCATTTATTACTCCCCCTTTTCTTTAAACAAACATTTACTTGAGAGACAGCATGGCAATAATTGGTATGTCATCAAGCAGCACGTATGTAGAAGACCAGAACAGCAGGCATTCCAAGGGTGACCATTCTATTACACATCGCTTTCTTTTTTTTCTGGTGGTACCAGGGATTGAACTCAGGACACCTTTTTGCTTACCAGGCAAACAGTTATTCCACTGAGCTATCTTCCTGGCCCCTACACACTGCTTTCTTCAGTGCAGTTGCTTAGTTCACAGGTATCAGCATATATAGTCAGGGTGAGAATCCTACCAATTAACTGCTAATTTCAAAAACCTGCTATTTCTCAGGATCATTGCCTTACCCATCTTGTGTATATAAATGTGTGGCTTTGCCCCATCATGTTTCCTAGCTTTTTTTCCCACTTTCTCTTCACTGTCTAATCCTCAAGTTCTCACTTTCCTTTAATTCTGTTATACCTTTCTATTTGTCTTTCTTCTTTTGAGTTCTTATACTAGAGAGACTATACGATATTTACACATGTGTGTCTGGTTTATTTCACTTATGAGTATATCTTCAAGTGGGATCCACTTAAATATAAAGGCTTCCAGTATATCATTCTTCATAGCTGAGTAATATTCCATTGTATAAAAATATCACATCTTTTTCATCCATTCCTCAGGTGATGGGCATCTTGGTTGTTTCCAAGATTTGGCTGCCACAAATTGTGCTGCTATACCCATAGGTGCACATATATCCCTATGATATGATGTTTTCAGATCTTCCGGGAAAAGTCCCAGTATAGGAATACTGGTTTAAAGGGGATTTCCAGACCAACTTTTCTAAGGAGTCTCCATACTGATTTCCACAACGGTTGACCAGTCTACATTCTCACCAGCAGTGGAGAAGGGTTCAATTTTCCCCACAGCCTCTCCAACATTTGTTGTTGGTTGATTTCTTTATGATAGCCATTCTTTCTGGGGTGAGATGGTATCTCAGTGTTGTTTTAATTTACACTTCACAAATGGCTAGTGATATGGAGCATTTTTCATATATTTATTTACTTCTTTAATTTCATCCTCTGAGAAGTGTGTGTTCATCTCAGATGCCCATTTCTGGATTGATCTTTAAATTTTGGGGCCCTACTGGTTTTTAGTTTTTTATAAATTCTAGAGAGCCGACCTTTGTCTGAGTGCTTAGTAGTCAAGATTTTTTTCGAAATTTGTGGGTTGCCTTTTCACTTTGTTGGTAATTTCTTTTGTTTTTTTATTTATTTATTTTCATAATTTTATTGATAAACAAACAGCAATGAGACAGTTTCAAATCAAATCGCTAGGACAGTTTCAATAACTAACACACTGCATACATTCTTCTTAGTGGTTAATTACTGTACAAGATGCGGACTTGAGATCCTATTTACAAACACCATTAGTGGTAATTTCTTTTGACCTGCAAAAACTTCTCAATAAGAGGAGGTCCCAGTTGTTAATTCTTTCTAATTCATGACAATACCCAAATGTATCCAAACGTATGCCTGTGGTGCTGACCAGAAAGCCCACCCATAAATGTCCCTGGTCCACTCACTCTCTTACTCCTTGAGGCCCTACCTAATGGCCCTTCTCATGTAAATTCACAATTCCTGCTTTCTGGCAGTGAGCTCCCTGCTATCTGAGGAAAGAACGAAGCAGCACAGAGCCCACACAAGGGGCACCACTTCCGCACCCTCCTGTACCTTACTCACAGGCAAGGGCATTACCCTCGCAAAGGTGAAGAGCCCCTCCCACGCTCTTGCCTCCTACTCAAGGATACTGCCTTAGGGGCCGGGTGTGGGCCAGTGGCAGAGCATCTGTGTAGCATTTACCAGGCCTGAAGTTTGATGACTCCTGTCACTACGAAGGAAAAAAAGACACTGCTGCCGTGATGCTCCACTCTCCAACACAAATTTCTCCCTCTTGATGTTACGCTAAGTGAAACAAACCACAGGAAGACAAACAGACTGCTGTCTAATCACCATTAAATGTGGGACCTAAGAAGATGAACTAGTGAGAGCAGAGTAGAATACAGACAGCTATCAGGGCCTGAGGATGGAGGGGAAAGACACCGAAGGATCCAAAACCGCAGTTCAGCATAGAAATTATACTTAGAAATAATGTACTGTATACTTGATATTTACTGAAAGGGTAGATCTTAAATGTTCTCACCACAAAAAAAAAGTAATGTGAGATGATGGATATGTTAACTAGCTTGAGCTAATCATTTCATAAGGTAAACACGTATCAAAACATCACGTTTATATAGTTATTCTGTAATAAAGTAGACAACAAGAAATGAAAGACACATGTATTGCATTACCTGAGTGAACGAATCCACTGAAGACACGGCAGCACTGCCTACAGGGGTCTGCTGAGCCAGACTGTCCAATAATTCCACTGAAATTCCAATCTGAGCGACAGATGGAGTCCGGACAATATTCATAGCTCCAAAAGGGTGTTGGCTTCCTTCCCCTGAAAGAAATTAACATGTGCTACATATTTCAAATTTAACTTGTGTTCATAACAACTGCTCCATGAACATGTAAAGAGCCTGTGATCTACACACACTAACTCTTACACAGAAGTCTGTCTCGGCTGGGGATAAGGCTCTGTGGTCGAGCTCTTGCTTTGCATGCACAAGGCTGGGGTGCAACCCCAGCACACAGACACACACAGAGTAAGTTTTTCTCTTTGGCTGAATAGAAATGGCTTGTTTTTATGGTATTAATACAGAGTAAGTGTTGAAAGCTTCCCAGCAGAAAAAGTTCTTGCTACTCTAAGTTACTAAGAAATCATTAGTTAAAAAGTTAATAGGAGAGAAAAATGAGAATTAAAAACAACGCTGAGAAAAATTAAAGAAAACTTTTTAGAAAGTCTTGGAGTCAGGGAGATGGCTGGCAAGTGCAAGGACCAGGGTTCAATCCTGGTACCACACATCATGCTAGCCTGGTGACAAACCCACCATGGAAACGAAGTGTGGTGGCGCACACCTGTAATTCCAGTTTTGTAGAGGCTGACATAGGGGAGCACTACATGTCTGAGCTGCATGGTGACACCCTGTACCAAATAAATAAAGATTAAAAAATTGCCTTCTGCCACAGCAACCACTGAAGAACAATAGCCATGGCCCTACCCTACCCCATGGCCATGGGCCTCAACAAGGGCCACAAGGTGACTAAGAATGTGAACAAACCCAGGCACAGCTGCTGTCGCAGACACCTCACCAAACACACCAAGCTCATGCAAGACATGATCTGGGAGGTGTGCGGCTTCACCCCCTACGAGCAGCGCGCCATGGAGCTGCTCAAGATCTCCAAGAACAAATGCACCCTCAAGTTCATCAAGTAAAGTGTGGGGATGCACATCCGCGCCAAGAGGAAGCACGAGGAGCTGAGCAACGTGCAGCTGCCGAGAAGGTCTACGCCCCTCTGGGATAAAGCTTTGCAGAAAAAAAAAAAAGATTAAAATATTAAAAGGAAGGGGCCAGGGAGAAGGCTCAGTGGAATAAGCGCTTCCCGGCAAACACAAGGATCCGAGTTCAACCCC